AGAATTTTCGGGGAATCAGAAAAAGTGAAAAAGCGCAAGGGAACGGGTCGTAGAGGAATTAAGAAGAGCGAAAAGTAAAATGGTATGGCGCTAGAGCTGGAGCAGATGAAATGAAGCAGCAGCGTGAGCAGGAGGGAGGAGGAGGAGGAGGGAGAGGGAGGAGGGGTTAGGAGAAGGAGGGAGGAGGAGGAGGGGGGTTAGGAGGGTGGATGAGGAAGAGGAGAGAGGACGAGAAGGGTAGAGGTGCAGAGGGGTGAAGGAGAAGGAAGAGGAGGAGGGAGGAGGAGGGAGCCTGAACAGGAAGGAGGAGGAGGGAGGAGGAAGAGGAGAGTGGACGAGAACGGTAGAGGAGGAGGAGGGAGCAAGAGGAGGAGGGAGGAGGAGGAGGGAGGAGGAGGAGGAGGAGGGTCGAGGAGAAGGAAGAGGAGAGAGGAGGAGAAGGGTAGACGACTAGAAGGGTGGAGGAGAAGAAAGAGGGTGGAGGAGGGAGGGGGGCAGCGAGGACGCGCGGAGCTGAAGAGGGGTTAGGGTAATTCAAATTATCGGAGATGCGATTGGGGGTTTTAAAGGTTTTCTATGGCAAAAAGGGGTTTGGGTAGAACGGGGGCTAGATACCATACGATGTATAGTAAGTGAAGGGCGTATTCACATTAGGACCTTTTCAACTCAGCTCTGGACGTGATTGCGGTGAGGTGCATCGTGCTCTGGCCGTAGTTGCGGTCAGATACATTTAAACAAGTGCTCGTGTGAGTATGCGCTTAGAAGCGACGGGGGAAAACCTGTATGATGCAATTCCAAAATGGGGTTGTAGAAACCCCCCCAGGCACACGAAGAATTTGAGGTATAATTTGGGTACATATTTTGAATTGGGCCATATATAAAATAATAGGGTTGGAAGGGGGCCTTTGACCAAAAGTTGCGACCCTGGCCTTGAACTGAGTTTAATGCAGGTGGATAAGATAAAGAACTAGGCTAGCAGTCTGGCCACCCGGGTCACCTTGTTTTGACCGGGCCAGGGCCCGGCCGTGCGAGGACCAAAGAAGGTCTCAGCCAAAAAAAAAAAAGAAAAACGGAAACGGGGTTACTAGCGCGGCCGGGCCAAAAAAAAAAAAAAAAAAAAAGAAAAGAATTTAATTTTTATTCTAAATTTGGTGAAGACTTTCGATGTGACCCTGAGGCAAATGTTGTTCAGTTTATTTTTCTGCATAACATACTTTTTTTCCCGATTTTTAAACTTTTTGGAATTTTTTATTTTATTTTATTTTTTGCTGGGACCTTCCCTGGTCCTTGCACGAGCTGGCCACCCGTGACCCGGGCGGCCCGGCTGGTAGCCTAGGAAAAAAAAAAAAAACAAACTAATGTTATGCAGAAATATAAACTGAACAACTTTTTGCCTAAGGGTTGTATGGAAACTCTTTTATATATATTTACCAGGCTACCAGAGTGGCCCGAGACCTCTTGGCCGGCCGGGCCAAAAAAGTAAAAAGATTAAAAAATATTATATATTTTAAAAATGTATTTTTTATTTTAAAATTTGAAAAGAATGTCGTTGTGACCCTGGGGCAAAAGTTGTTCAGTTTATATTTCTGCATGACCTAGGCTACCAGCCGCGCCGCCCGGGTCACCCTATTTCCCGGACAGCCCGGCCGTGCAAGGACCAGGGAAGGTCCTAGCTGGGTCCCTCCTTGGTCTTTGCGCGGCTCGAGCTGCCACGTTGCGCCCTTACCCCAGAGATGACAACAGTGATGACGAGGGCTCTAAGGGGGACGACGAGCGGGCGGGACGTGCTGACCATCCGACCTCACAAGAGGCTGATGAGTGGAGCGACCCGGAGGACGTTCGTAGACGTAGCGGCGGGGGCGACCTTTTTGGTGGAGGTGATGGGAGCCCTTTTGAGCGGCCGGGGCAAACAAGATGACCCGGGCGGACCGGCTGGGCAAGTGGTCCTGGGCCACCCTGGTAGTCCAGATAAAGAAGGCATTCGTCTGATTTCTGGATTTGTTGATTTATTGGTTAACATTTTCTTTCTCTTTTTTATTTTTATTTTTTATTCTTACGCAGGGGCCATGCTAATCTTCTCTGCATTTTTCCAATTTTAACGGACGTCCTGAAGGACTGGGTTAACATTTTTCTCGTTTTCTTTCATTTTGTTTTTTCTATGTGCAGGGGGTGAAAGTGGGACGGTGTTTGTATCCGCATCATCGGGATCTGAGTCGAGAGCACGGAATGGAGTGACTTCTACTACCACCTCGGTTGCGACCCCGGCAGGAGGCTCTGTTCCATCGACAACCTCGTCTCCCTACCCGTGAGTTACATACAATAGCTGTAAAAAAAAAAAAAAAAAAAAAAGAAAGGGGCAAAAGACCGAAGAAGGGAAAAATAACAAAAGAAAAAAAAGAAAAAGGAAGAAAAAAGAGAGCTGCAATTTTTCCGAGGTAAAAAACCTGCAATTTTTCATATTTGGGCCTCTACACTTGTCCAGAATTGTTACCTCCCCCACCCCCCACCCCGCCCTCCACCCCGCAAAAAAAGGGAAAAAAGAGCTATTAAGCTAGGCTGTTTTTCCGGGCGCCCGGGCACCCAACTCGTGCCCGGATACACGCCCGGATGCCCGGCCGGGCATGACACCCCGGCAGGGTTCCGGGCAGCCCCGGCGCAAAAAAAAAAAAAAAAAAAAAAAACGAAAGTAAAAAAATTCCAGAAAAAATAAAATGTTGTGTAGAATTGCAATACAAATAACTTTTGGCTGAGGATCACATCAGAATTCCTCACCGAATCGGAGATAAGAAAACAACAACGAAATCACATTCAGGCACCATCCTTTAAACCCCCTTAGCCCCCTTAAAACAAATTTATACCCCCCTTCTCCCCCCTTGACAGCCAACTCTCAAAAATTGAAAAGAGCCCGAATTTGGGGTCGGTCCTCTGGGAGAGCGCAGAAAGGCTTTTTTTTTTTTCTTTTTTTTTTCACGCTCGGGTATCCCAGGCGTCAGACCCCCCCGAGCGTCACGCCCGGGTGCCCGGCCAGGCATTAAAAACTTCCGAGCTATTAAGTGGCTGCTGAACTCATAAGCCTCCAATTTTTCAGAATCGCCCTGTAGAATCAACAAGAACTGTAAAAAAAAGGAGAAGAAAAGAAAAGAAAAGCCGAACTTCCCCCTCCCCCCCAAAAATAGTAATGAAAAGCCAAACCCCCCCCCCAAACCAAAGAGAGCTGTTAAGTGGCTGCTGATCTCAGAGACCTGCTCTTTTCTTTCCTTTTCTTCCTCTCCCCCCCCCTTCCCAAAACTAAGCTATATTCTGCTGTCAAATTCATTTTCATTTTCCCAACCTACCTGCCTTTACTCCTAAGCCCCTCTACAGGGGACCCTTGCAAGCATAGGAACCTCTCACAATCAAGGGGATGC